CCCCCCCCCCCGGGCCGGCCGTATACCACCCCTGCTTGTCCACTTGTCGCCTGGGATGTCTTCGCCGCGGCCGCTGAACCCCCACGAGCGGTGCATCTTCGAGGCCATTGAGCAGGGCCGCCTTGAAGCCGCCGCACAAATCTCCCTGGAGCATGTACGCACCGGGTGGTCCACCGCTTGCGCACGCGCACGCACGCGCACACACGCACCACAATGCAAAGTGGCTAACCGGTTGCACTTTCTCGCTCTCCCGCCACCCGGGCCTGGCTCGCCCTCCGGGCAGGATGTCCGTCGGTTTGGGCCCTTCTTCTCGTCACTCGCCTCCCTGGTGACCAGTGAGCCCGACGCCAGCTCCGACCCCACACACCCCCTTTTTCTGGCCGCCGTGCGTCCTTGCATCCTGGTGCCACCACCCTGCTCGCCTGTGCTCCCCAGGGCGCGCCCGTCTCCGGCCTTCTCACCTGCCTCACCTGCCTCACCTGCCGGCCTTCTCAACAGGCGGACCAGGAGATCGCCGCCTTCCTCGGACGGCTGTCCGTCTCGGTGGTCCGCAATCGCAGTGTCCACCAGCAGGCACTCGCTCGAGCTGGCATCGAACAGGTGCGCATTTGCACATTCCCCCAAGGTCTTTGCCAGCTGCTGCGCCCTGGTGTCCTCGGATGTGCTGCCTCTCGACGCTCACCTCTCTGCCCTTCCCCCATTTGGCCGGCCTCAGAGTCCGAGCACCTCGGTGAGCGTGGCTGCCTTTGAGAACTCCGATCCCAACGCACAACTCAGGTACGTGGCACGCTGCTCGGCCGCCCGCCATCCCACGGCCCTCTCCCCTCCCCCCCCCCCCTCTTCTTCAGTCAGGCTGATCCCTCTCCTTTACCGCTGGAATGGCGCCACAGCATGTTGCTGTCGGCTCTGCAGGGCTTCCAGGATGCTCGCCGCCCAGCAGCCGCGGCCGCCTCACTGCGTGACCTTTTCGAGCCCGCCTGGCTAGCGCACCCGGTGGGCGCACGCCTCGGCCTTTGGGCCGCCCTCGCTGGCGATGATACCGTCCTCCGGGTGCGCCAACGAGACACACACATGCACATGCACATGCACATGCACATGCACATGCGAACCGGCCCTCCCCTTGCCCATCTGGTCCACAGCGTACTCATGCTCTTCTCTTCTTCCTCTCGTGCCGGGCAGCCCCTGGTGGACCTGGCACTGACACTCTTGACGGAGGAGCAAGCATTCCATCTCCTGGCCTCTTACACTGGGGCCTTCCCTGCCGCACTGGCCGAGGTACGGGCTATCCTCCCGCCCCGATCCGCCTCCTCCCCACCTCTCCCCCCCGGCGTGTGGTGTTGCCTTGCCATGTGTTTAACGCAAACTCGCCTCATTGCTTCTTTGCCCCCCCCCCCCTCCGCTCTCTCTCTCTCTCTCTTTCTCTCGCACCCTCGGCGGCGCTGGCCGCCAGCTGGTCGATCTTCTGGCCGCGGTGTGCTGCGCGACCGACACCCCCCACGCGCCGGACACCGAAGGCAGGGCCTTTGTCCTGCTGCTGCGCCTTTGCCACTCGGCACCCTTGCACCATGTGTCACGCGCACGCGATGCCCTCTTCCGCCAGCATCCTGCCTGGTCCCTGGACCTGCAGAGCGTCCTGTCTGGCGCCGGGGCCGAGCCCTCCCGGCCGGACCCATCGGGTGTTGCGGCCATGGCCGGCGACCTGCGCGGCCTGCTCCTGAGCGACATGGAATTCGTGTCCTTCCTGTCGGTCTTCCAGCCAGACCGCCTGCTGGACCGCCGCCTCGACCTGACGGCCGGGGCCAGTGTTCCCCAACTTACCCACCATACTGGGGCCTCCTTGCCGACGCTGATCCGCCTGCAGGCGGTCGTCCATGCGGTGCTCTTTGCCCAGCAGCCCTGTGACTTGGGCCTTCACGAGCTACAGGCATGCCTGGAAGCCGGCGGCCGGTGCGCCTTCTGCCATTGCCCTCCCCCCTGGCCCGGCCCTTTCGATGTTGCCCCCGTCTGCCCGGCTCTGGCCCAATGCTTCCTGCGGTTGCCTCCTCCCCCTCCCCCCTCCCCCCCCCCCCCTTGGCCGCCTGTCTAACTCCCTGCTGCCCGTGTCTCAGTCTCGGCGAGCTGGCCGCCGGACTGTTGCTCCTGCTTCCCGATCTCCCGGGCCAGGAGGCCCTCCAGCCGTTGGGGGAATCGCTGGCTCGCGTGCTGGCGGCCTCCTCCCCGGCGGCATGCGCCTACATGCCGCTGCTGCTGTCCCGCCAGTCGGAGGTGTCGCCCACGGATGTGGGCCAGCTGCTGGCCGGCTTCCAGCTGGACCTGCCGGCCGAGGTGCATGATACCGCCCAGCAGACCTTCGCGTCTGCCGGGGCCGGGGATCGGCTGGCCGGCCGGCCTCCCCTCACGCGGCCCGGCACCGGAGCACAGGCTCCCGCCCTCGGGCGCTCGGGCCCGAGCCACCTGCTTGGCGCGGCGTCGGCTGAGCATCTGGTTTTGGCCGCGGCCGCGGCTCTGGCCCGGGCACGCGCCACCCACTCGCACATGTCCCTCCTGTCGGTGCTGGCCGGGCAGCTGGACACCTGTGTCCAGGCCTGGCGACAAACCGCCGCCACCGCCGGCGACATGGCCCTGGCCTTGCGCCTGCTGCTGCTGGATTGCCCCGACGTGGCGCCGGCCGAGTGGACAGACTGGCTGCTGGCCGGGCTGCAATCGGCCTCGACCCCGGGGCTGTTGCCCTTTTTCGAGGCCTACATCGAGCAGTCCCTGCGTCGGGCGCCGGCCGACTTTGCTCCCCCCTCGGAGACGGCCCTGCTGGGCCTGGCGCAGCAGCCCCTGTCGACCGCCCTGCCGGCTGTGGTTTTCCCGCTGATGTGGAATGAGCGCCTGCAGAAGTTCGCCGCCACCCTGGCGCCGGCGGCCTCGCCCGATGCCCAGCACCCGAGTGGGCTGCTGCTCGAGCGTGACAAGGGTGCGTCCAGACCGCCATCCGGCCGCCCTCTTCCCCGCTCCCTTCCTCCCTTGACGTGACGACTCCGACCCACTGACCTGATGCCTTCGGCCCCCCCCCCCCCCCCCCCCCCCTCCGCCGGTCTGCCCTGCTCTTGCGTCGTGTCCCGGGCTTGCCTTGCATGCCAGCCGAGCTCCTGTATTCGGCCGACTTCCTGTCCACCCTGCCGGTGGAGCTGCTCTTGGCCCAGTACGCCACACAGGCCCCGGGCGGCGGCGGCGGCGGCGGCGACGGCCGCGGCGGCCACGACGGCGGCAGCAGCCACGGAATTGGCGGGGCTGCCGGGCCTGCGGCCCCGGGACAGGCCCTTCCCTCGGCCGGGCTCCTGGGCCTCGGGGCCACTGTTCCCCTGCCCGCGCGCGGGCTCACCTATGCACACCTGGCCCATTTGCTGCCGCATTGCCAGCTGTCCGAGGAGCAGGCCTTGCGCGAGGTCTCCCTGCGCCTGCGCTCCCTTTGGCAGAATGCCTTCGACCCGGTGCTGTCCAGCCTGGGCTCGGATTTGGACTCGGCCATTGACCATGTGCTCTTTGACGGCCGGTCGACCTGGGGCGAGCTTTCCGCCGCCGGCCCCGGGGCCAGCCCCCCTGGCGGGCCCGATGGTGGTCCCTCCCCCGGCAGGGCGACCCCCACGCAGGCCGGCATCGCCTCCTCGCCCGTGTGCCCCCTTTCGCCTGACGACCGAGTGCTGCTGACCCTGCTGGCGCTGGTGGCCGGGGACCAGGATTTCCTCCAGGCCACCGAGCGCGGGGCCGGGCATTCGACCCCCGGCGGCCTGGGGGCGGCGGCCCACCCGCGCGGCCTCCAGCGGCTGGCCCTCGGCGGGCAGGCAGCCGCCGGGGCCCTCTCGGCCGAGGTGTGGGCCCGGCGGCGCCTCCGGCCCTGGCTCGATGCCAATCCCGGGCCCCTGGACCCGGGGCTGCCGTACCCCGTGCAGCTGGCCTTCATCCGGGGGTGGGTTCTCTTCGGCCTGGAGGACTTGCGCTTGGCCACCGGGCTTGGGCAGCTGGACTCCCTGTGCACGGGCCTGGCACTGGGGCTGCGCTGGCTGGCCGGTGCCTTGGCATCGGGGACCGGTGTCGCCGGTGGCCCCGGCGGCCCCGGATGCCACATGCTGCTGGAATGCCCCGGCCCATCGGGCGTCGCGCATGACTTACCCCCGGCGGACCGTCTCTACACGGGCCTGGCCCCCGGGGCGGGGGCCGGGCGCGCGCGCCTTCCCCCCCAGGCCGATGATATGGAGGGCGCTTTCTCCTCGCTGCTGGCTGGCCAGGCCCTGGCCGAGGCTTTTGCCCTGGATGTGGTCGAGCTCTTTGCCCAGTCGATGTGCGTTCATGCTGTCGCCCGCTCGGGTTTTTCCTCCTCGCCCACCCGGGCTCCCTCCCCCTTCTCTGGGCCTTTCCCACCGCCCGCTGCATCTTCCTCGCCCGCCCGGTGTTCTCTGACCTTGCGATGTCTGGTGCGCCGTAGCAATGAGCTGCTCGACGAGGCAACCCTGGCTCCGGATGCCGTGCGCCTCAAGCTCCCGATCTTGGACCGCTTGGCGCCGTATGTCAGTCGCCTGTGGAAGATGTCCGTTCGGCAGAGTGACGCTTCGGCTGGAGCTCGGCTGATCAAGGTGCTCCGGCCGCCGATGGACATTCTCCAAGGGTACGCGTCCCCCCCCCC